GCGCGCGCGCTCCGCACCCTTTCCGCACCAGCGATACGGATCGACGGCCGACCGGCCGGCCGATACATATTATTATTATTATTATTGTTGTTGTTGTTTTTGTTGTTGCTGTTGCTGTTATGTGTGATCGACATCTCTCCATTGTCGTCGCGTGTATTATGACCGCGAGCGGATGTCGTCGGTGTTTTTTCGATTTCGTCCTGCCGCCGAATACGTGCACATAAACGTGTATATGTGATGGTAAATCGCGTAAAGGTACTTCTATCTACTCAGAGCAGTTGGTCTCACAGATGATGATCGGAGCCGGCACCTGGCAATGTCATTTTCAATGGTTCTTCTCGGCGCTACGCATAAAAATTTGAAAAATAAATCGACCCATCTTTTAATAAAAGATCATACGATAACAAAAATATTCCAAAACAATTATTTACTGCTCCAAAATTATTTTTTATTATGAAAAAAAAAAAATCACTTTTTGTGATCGACATATAGCTCGACCACTAGCTGGCCTATAGAATCACCTACACGTGATATGCCATCGACAATAGTGGCTAGCAGGCGGACTTTAGCCCTATAAGTCATAGTCGAAATCGAAGAAGGATTGGCGTAAGATTCTACATGAAATTATTAAGTCCGTGTTACTATATTATGTCGGTCGTTTATAAATTGTACGATGTGATATAATTCGCTGAAATCATGAAAATATAATATACCCGCAGCCAGTGTAATAGCGATAATGTGTTATAAGCATGACTTTAAAGATCATATTATTTTATAAGCAGTGTACATCAACAGAAAGCACAATTTTTACGTGTCGATAAAGTTGTGCAGACGTGCAATTATTGTATTTCTTTAAATCGTATTCATCATTATCATCATCATCGATATAACTCAAAGTATATAGGTCTCTGATATGTTTTTTTTTTTTTTTAATGATTCCTGGTTATTAGAAAAGCGTATTAATTCTGATCTTAATTTAACAGTAGTAACTTCTGAATCAAGTTTCATTAATTTTCAGACAAGAGAACGTCAACTACTTCAGCTGGAAGACTATTTTTAATGTTATTGAAGTTACTTGGAGATATACAAGATAAATTCGCATATATTTTTGAATTATTGACAAAAATCGTTTTTCGATACTATACGTATCAAAATCAAACTATCTATGACAAACATTATACACTTTAACCACAATTTTTTTATAACTCTTATAAGGATCAATTATTGGGTCATCCTCTGCTTTATCATCAATTGATTCTTCTTTTTTCTCGTCCTTAATGTGGGTAATTTGCTTTCAATAATAAAATCAATATCACTATTATCTTCTTAGTTTTATTTCATCCAAATTGATAATTTGGTATTATATATAATCAATAGTCATATTATTATACCTACACGTATAATCACTGTAGTCTTGATAAGAAGTCAGAAATCACCATATATCTTATTATTAAGGTCTATGGAAATTACGAACTAAGATATACTATAACTAGTACTGGAAACAGTCAAAGGTGGGTTATTAACTAGTTAAAAATTTAAAGCTAAGTTAATTTTTTTTTAACTTTTTTAACTTCACCAGTTAGCTTGTTTTCTAATTAACTTACGAACTTGAGGTGTTTCATTGACAGTTAAAATAACTTAACTTTTTACAGTTGATATTAGAAAATTTTTTGATAAGATTATAAATTGTATTGTTTTAATGTTTTATGACCTTCAATTGCTATATGTATTACATAATATGAAAACAAATATTTGTTAAATTATTAATTTGAGATGAGTATTATTTAAATTAATAAATTATACATCATGTTACGTTAAAGAGTATTTAGGTTATAATAAAAGTTCAATAAAATTGTTTTTTATAATTTAGTAAATTAGAAAGACGTAGTCATTCTTTATGTAATTTACATACTAATTAAAAAAAAATAAATAGATTAACTTTTTTTTAAACTGATTTAAGTTAATATTTTTTTTCTATATTAAATTTTAACTTATCGAGCTAAATTTATAATCGGTTAACGGTTAACTTCTAACTTATCAATTCTGTGCTCTTTTAACTTGACTTGAGTTAAATATTTTCATTAACTTGCCCAGCTTTGGATATAGTATATCTCAATCCGTGTCGGAAATTAAAAATAATTATGTCAATTATGATAATGATAAAATGTGATAAACTAATGAATAATAAATGTAAAAAAAAATTCATGACAATTTATGGTAAAATTAAAAACCGTTTGCGGCCATAGCTCTCAAACATACCGGTCGCCGGGAAGTTTCCGGGTATCCAGATGCCGGGTACCCCAACGGCCAATCCGGCCGTGCTAGACATAATACATACTTTGACATATTAACATAAAAATAATGTTAATTCATAGATATTCTTATATTTTACAACATTTTATGCATTTTATACTTTAAATCATTTTCAAAATTATATAATTATATAATTGCCCTAGTTTTACAAAAATGATGTATCAGTTATTTTATTTTTTTACATATTATATTATATAAAATTTTGTTTAGGCCGAAAAGGGAATCTACCTATTTTAAATTTGGTCGAAAAGTGAATCGGCTTAAAAGAAAAGGTCACGTTTTTGGTCAAAAACGGCCATGCCCATTAATAATAGACTAAAACTGTTTTATTTGTATTCATATCGTTTGACGAATAATAATCACACGTCGAAAATGTATTTGGTTTTTATTTTTTAAAATACAATTTGAACGAAACGGATGTGGAAGGTATAAAACAATTTTCTGAAAAACAACATTAATTGTAGTACATTTTCCTGTCCTCATTGAGCTCATTGCCACTAGCTGCATTCGATCGTTCAAGGGAAAAACAAAAACTATAATGACAGCCCCATCTATCGACCAAAGTTACCGGTAATGCGTGCGCGCATGCTGTACTACCCGCGTTTATTCGATTTGACGACAACATAATAATATTATGAAAATATTAAACATAAATTAATAAAATTTTTATTTTATTATCAGATGAAACATAATGTACCTACTGTAATGTGTCTATATAATTTTTTTAAATTATTATTTGGATTTTGGATTAAAAAAATAATAATATAATCATTGATGTGAAGTAAACGTTTCTATTTTTTGGCGAAAACGTAAACGGCGGTCGGCACTCACCAAAACAAGAAGACTTGGGTGAATAAGTGTCTTCATAAGCTGCAATAATTAGACATAATATTCTAGTTTTACAGGATTATTCTGAGACTATTCATAGTTATTTTTAAAACGGGCAATTTAATATGTTTTAAATATAGGTACCTATTTAATATAAAATTGTTTTATTTTTTTATAAATCTTTATGTTTGCACTTAATACTATTTTTATTTATCTCGAGAGGGGGAATTGTTAATTGTAAACTGTTGGTTGCGATGTATTTAATGTTTTTAATTCACAATAAAATACCTAACACCTAACCAATGATAATCATAGTTGAAATTCATTCAGTTATAACTGTGATGAGTTAACAATTACTTTAACAGAAATCCATTGAAAGGATAAAAAGAACGGTGACCTGGGTGAGTGTGGCACTATATATGTCTATAATATATATCTACCAATAAGTATAATGCTTTTAAACTGCATTAATCACGGACTCTGGGGTGTTGTGTATCATAGTTAAGAACTGAGACTGTAGAGTATTTTTTTAAATTTTCAAACAAATTTTATTATTGATTGGCATTAAAAAAAATTAGTAGTACCTCTACTAATAACAAATCTATTAACAATAACTTTAAGTACTTTAAATTTTTAGTATAGGTACTTACTCTTTGAGTAAAAAAAAATAAATAATTATGTCTAATATATGAAAATATGCAATTAAATTAAATGCCAAATAAAATCGGGTTAAGTATTTAAAAACTTGTGGCTAAAATATATTACTTAGAATTAATATGACTTTTGGATTGGGGCACAAACTAAGGAACTTACAAACCCATCTATGACATAATAATTGTTGTATAGGTTAAACAAAGACTGCAAAGATTTACGTTTGATTAATAAGCAATACTCATTAACACTATTTCAACAAAATTCTAGAAAAGTAGTTATAAAATTATATAGACACCAAAATAGTAGATTTGTAAATATTCCATTAACTTCTTTGAGAATAGTGCTTTTTAAAAGTTAAAAATAACTATTAAGTCAATAACTGCTCTGTTAAACAACTATTAATGTTTTAAATATACATCTCATTACTGAAATATCAAGTTGACCAACTTATTTAAAATTATTGGGAAAAACAATACAAAAAAGATAGGTACTACTCTGCAGTGCATTAGGTGAAGAGTGGGTCATTATATTGATTGCAATAAAATTTGAATTCAATGATAAACCATTATATAAGATAAAAAACATTTTTTTTAAGTCCAAAGAAATTTAAACTTTTAACCATAAAGTTAAATTCTATTTTCTACCAGAAACTTCCATCAAAGTTTATATAATTGTAACATTTGTTTTACTAGATCAAGTGTCTTCAGAGACAACAATTAAAAACATAACATATATAAATAGTAAATACATACAACATTACAAAATATTTAAAAAAAATGCATCACTCCACTACAAATCTAGAAAATAAATTTGCTTAAAAAAAAAAATCATTTTATTACAAGTTATTTTTATTTAAATATTATTTATACATATAAATAAATATGTATTACAAAAGTATAAGTAATTATTAAGTATTTAAAAATTAAATCACAATATAATAAAAACAATATATTATAAAATAATCTTATATATACATGTAGACAAATATTTCAGACAAAAAAATATTACCATCAATGTTGTAATTTTAAAACTGTTAAATTTAATTCATTTACTTTAAAAAATAATAACTTGTTAGAGAAAGAAAAAATATAATTCATAAATAAAATGGTATCCATTGGACTGTGCTACAACAAGAAATAACAACATAAGTATGCTATATACTTTTTATCAAATATTCACATAGTTGAAATAATGAAACATTTATGCTAATTTATTATAAAATGTGGTAACTTATTAACAATTACTCCACCATAAACTTTACCAACATTACTTGATGCTGTTATCATGTATTCCCACGTATTGGTATTGGGATTGTAAATTTCTACTGAACTAACATTATCATAAAATTTACTTCTTCCGCCCAAAACATACAATAAGCCATGCAATATGATAACTCCCATACCTATTTAAAATAAAATTTCTATTTAATACCCTAAAATAAAAATGTATAGTAATAATTATTAAAGTCACCAGGATTTGTTCGACAGACATGCATATCAGCAACATAACTCCAAAGTCCAGTGTCTGGATTATACACTTCCACACTTTTATGATAAAATGGTCCATCGTGACCTCCAATAGCATACATTAGACCATTTAAAACTCCTATTCCAGGACTACTACGGCATGTAGACATATCAGCTATTGATTTCCATCTATCAAAACTTGGATCATAACATTCGACTGATCTAAAATATTGCCTTGATAATCCATCAAACCCTCCTATCTAACAATCAAATTATATTAAATGTATTATAAACTATAGATTTAAAATATTAAATAATTTTAACTAAGATGTTAACTTACTGTGTATATAAGATTATTGAGTACTCCAACACCAACACTACCTCTACTAGTTGACATACTAGATACCATTTTCCATTCCTCAGTATGGACATTAAAAACTTCTACTTCATTTAACTCGTGGTTACCATCAAATCCACCAATCTTACATGTTATATTATATATTTAAAATACATACATGTTATAGAATAAAAAATAATAGGTACTTTAGTATAACATTCAGCATATATCCAATCAATCAATAGACCAGTGATCTCAAACTCAAATTACCTATGGGCCATATATTTTTTCAAAAAAAATTCGCGGGCCAAATTTTAAGTGTCACTTTTATACTTATACACTAGAAACTAAAGACAAAATGAAAGCAAAAATACATACAAAATCCATTTATTTACTTACTATTACTACAAAATTATCATTGAAAAAATATAATGATCGTTACTTAAAAAAAAAAATTATAATTTAAATTTAAAAATAGCTTGAATATTTGATAATTTTTATTTTTGAGCTGCACTATTTTTATATTTTTGTTCAAAATGTATTTTTATTGCGGGCCACATAGAAGGAGTTTGTGGGCAAAAACTAGCAATAAACTACAAATAGCATACTCAAAAAGACCATTTTGTACAATTAAACTGATCTTAAACTAAAATCTAAACTAAAATGATCTTCTATCATATCCATTCATTTTTGGTCCAAGATTCCATTCCTTGGTCTCTGGGTCATACCATTCAGTAAAACACTCTGACCTCAGTGAAGACCAACCAAAAACTAGAATTATCTGTTGAAATTAAAAATGAATAAAATATTAATAAAGTAACACAAATCATAATAACAGTATCATACTTTTTGTACATTAGCAGTAACAAGCTATTCTGTGTTTATTTTTTCTATTACATTATCTGTACCTAAAAATATTACAATAGAATGAATTAAGAATAATTCCATAAAAAAATAAAAGTACATACTATATCTCATATCAACTCCATTTATTATGCACCATTTTGATGCTAATGGCAAATGTATGTGTTCCAATAATTCGGCCAAAACACCTTTTCTAAAATACCATTCATGATTTACCCAATTCATAATGCATTTAACAAGTACCTAAAAGTACAAATAAACACAATTAAAATATAATTAAAATAATTTATTAAAAAAAATGTTATAAATGTTTTATGCAATTTGATAAGTTAGGTATTTTGCAAACAGCCAATGTATCTTACATATTGTTTGATGCTTTTGCATAAATGTAGTCTATTTAACTGTTTTTTTCAAAAGAGCCAACTGACTTTAGCTTTATATAGCAAAGAGATTGATGACAGCTTTTGAAAATGATTTGTTTGTAATACATTTATGTGTAAGTAAACCATAAACTAATAATATAGAATTGAGTTTCAATTTAATAATATTTATTTTTAGTTTATAAGGATATTAATATTTATATTAAATAAAAATCATAAATATTATAGAGTATAGAGGTTAATATTTTTTAGTTTTTGACATATCAGTTCTATATTTGATTTGTTATTTGAATATAAAAAAATTTAAATATATATTTAGTTTTTTGAGACACCTATACAAAATAAATTAATTTAAAAAGAAAACAATGATTGGAATGAAATCATAATTAGAAATTTAATGTTTATCAAATCAAAGGACAATTCTCTAAATATTTCTTTTTGTTTTATGTGTGGCGAGTATCTAATTGGTTTGAGATTTGCAAATGAAATATTTATTATAACATGTTGTCAATTTAAAAAAATTGCAGTTTTTTTTTTTTTTTAATTAATAATAAAAATAGTAATTATTAATATTCTTTAATTTTCTATCATAAAATCTATATTATAATAAATAGAACATAAATGTAATATTATACTCTAAGTTTATTATTCAAAATAATCATAGTATTTATTACAAGAAAGAAATAATAAAATTAGTATACTACTCATAAATTTTGATCTTTGATATTCAAATTTTCTAAAAATTCTGTCAGTAATTTTTAATAATCTTAAAAGTCAAGTGACTCTTTAAAAAGAAAAAATGAAAAAATTTAATGATTACCTTTTGATAAAAAAACAAAAACTAAATTATCAAACATTCTATAATTAAAATATATTAAGTAATATTATAAATTAATAGTGGAAAGGCGAAGTGTTATATGTTACTTAAGATACAAATATTTTAAAACTGTAGGTTAATAAGTAATAATCACTAGATGTAGAAGCCTTTATTTTAAATATATATGTAAATTAACTTTTAACGACAAATATATAATAAATTCATGTTTTTTTCAAGTAACATAAATCTCAACTAATTTTTATGTTGCAGATGTAAACAAACAATTAACATTCCTTAAATTATTTTAAACAAAACTATTAAAATTTAAGATACTTCAAAAACAAAACTTAATTTTCCTTTCCACAATCAAGTTAGTAAATTAATTAATTTTCTAATCTTCTATTCACTATATCAAAATATAAAAATGATCAATGCCAACTTGTTTTTCATTTGAAACAGCTTGTTCAACATAGGAGATCAGCTTAATGACTTCTTCAAGTCTTTCGGAGGATATAGATAAGAATTCATCACATTCAATCACTTGTCTAAAAATTGCAATAAAAATTAATGTTTGAATCAGAAAAATAATATAAACATATCATACAATATATTTTGTTTAATATACAATTCAGAACTTGACAACAACGTAGAACAACTATATAAGTCAGCAAATGCTTTGATACTGAGACAATTTGATGGTCTTAAATGGTCTTGTAAAAACGTACAACATTTATTTAAAATAAATAAGAACCCTAAATGATCTGCAGTAGACAGCAAGACCTTAAAAAATCAATAATAATATATATAATTAATTTTTATGTAAGAACATAACTTATCAAAATAGTACATATTTATACCTTTACATTTTCTTCTGTGATCTCAATATTGTCTGAATAAACATAATCTACTAAGAGTTTTAAAGCCATGGAATCTAACTCTTTTAAGAGAACATGATCTTTATCCTTTTCGCTATATCTATTAAACATTGCATAGAAATAAGCACTAGCATTTACTAAATCAATTTTACGTGCAAATATTACTGTCCCGTCATCTGTTAATAATTTCACATCACAGGCCACCTCATGACTAAAAACAAACTTTTGTTATATTCATGTTTTATTAAAACTTATATAATTCATAACAATAGAGCAAAAACGTACTTGATTAAATAATAATATCTATATGGAAATTGTTCATCAGATCTTTGTACTTGCGTTTCAGAATTTGTGAGTGACAAATTATGATTATTCATCTTTTTATGGAAATCACATCTTTTGAAATACATTAAAAACAGTGAGTGGTTAATATTTTATAAACGTTGGAACAAATGTAGTTTAGCACCCCCTCTTCTATTATAACATCACATTTTTATTAATAATTAATTACCTTATTACTAACTAGTATAGTACAATTAATACCCACTCACCGAACTTTAAATTGTGGTCTGAGCCACACTTGTGTTTCACATTACACGCCAGTGTCAAATGTCATTAAATAAGAAATAATTTTTATCTACGAGTTATTGACAACCAAGATTCAAGAACAGCGTTTAAAACGTTGAAAACTTACGTCTTGAGAAACGTTCAATGTTAATAGTTGCGGACAACTGCGAATACTTGAAACTTATAGGCTACAAGACATGTAATATTAATTATTATTTAATATTTATTATTAAATTCTTAAGATGATAAAATGACAGTATTTAAATAAATTCAACACAAAATCATCGTCCGAAATCCGAGTCTCCGAATGGTTGAAAACTATCCAATAGATCTATATAATACACACGTTTACGACACGCGGCATACCAAAATTACATTTATTTACAATTATTATAAATGTTTGTACAATTGGCTATGCTGAATATTTATTATTTCTATTGTCTCGTGCGCGATGACATTTTCTTTCATGGCTTGAAAGCATTGATTATAGAATAGACAGATAGACAATGGTATAGGGATTTTTGGTGACTAAAATTTTATTTATAATAGCTGCCAAATGCCAATAGGTAGCGTTGTATGAATTAATATTATATTATTAATACTGAGTACTGACGGCAAAGGCAAATAGTAATAACTAATAACATATTCTTAAAATTAAATATTATTATTATTTATAAATAAAATAATGCAGTTGTATTTTAATATTGAGTAAGTGCATATTGAATATGTTAAATTTAAAAACTAACGTTAAGTCTGCATATTATTATGAAAAACGATTGCGAGTAAAGATGGACCAAAATTATATTACACTGGATTTGTAATGAAGAAAGTAAAGAAAGGGGACTTGGGAAAACTAACTCTATTTGATTTTAAATGTGTATATGTTTTAGTCGGAGTTGATATTTTAATAAATTCTTGTTCAGGTTTATGATTTTCATTTAAGTTTGAAGATGTACATGGTTGTTGCTCAGATTTATTATTATAATTATAGGGAATAGCAGTGTTAGTTAAACGGTTTTTATTAGAAAAATTTGTAAAACTTTCAGGTGAGAAATGGTCTTAACAAATGTACCTACCTATTATGCAGTTTTTTGGGTTTAATCGAAAATAGACTTCTGTTTCCTGTGAAGATAAATCAAATATTAAATAAATAACATTATACTTTTTGGAATTAGAAGAAATAATATTTTATATTTATATAATCTTATATTTTCAAGACAATTTAAACTATCAAGATAAATCAAAATTATAAATTTTTTACCTTATTTCAACTTTAAAAGTTAGTTAATAAAATATTAAAATTTATTTATTTATTTAAATAAAAAAATTATTAATTTTTATTTTCATTCAAATTATTTATATTGTTACTTTTAAAGGGATAACATTTAAAATAAAATACCAATAAATTACTTACTTAGCACAACATTTTCTTTAACATTATAAAAAAAAGAATTAATTATTTATTTACCCGAATTTATCATCCAAACTTCTCTTCTTTCGTCGTTTAGAAAACGATAAAGTCGTAAATTAGGAAACAAATTCCTCGACTTGCCACAATTCACATACTGACAATTTTTATTGCCAGACATTTTCAGATAATTTTATACTTAAAACAATGAAAATTATTTTTTGTATATAAGATTGATCACATAGATCACAGTAAGAGTTGGTAACCTAAAAATTGTCTCTCACAAACAAGAAACGACTATATAAACAGTAAACAGCAGTCAATTGGATATTTAACGATATCGGATATGCGATAACGAATTATGAAATAATATATTTTAATATTTTTAATCAATAATAATACAAGGAATTCTATTTTCATTTTCATTTCTTTTGATCATACTTTTTTTTTATTTAGAATCATGATTTGAAATTAAAAATAGTTGCAATGGAAACTAATGGTTTTGTCAGTTGTCCTCCCGAACATATTACATTGCAAAAAACTAATAAGGATTTACAAGAAAAGATTCGTGCTATGAGTCAAGTATTGAGTGAATACGTGACACAAAGTGCATCATTAAACATGATAGCATTATTAGTAAATATTTAATACTTTTCACACTTGGAATTTTGAATTATTAATACTTTTTTTGTAATAGGCTAAAACTGGACGTGATACAATGAAAAAAAATCTTGAAGAATTAAAATTAGATTTTGAAAATGCACTAAAGTGCAATAATTTAGAAGAATTTAACAATATAAAACACAAGATTGGCTCAATTATAGTATGTTATTTAAAAAAAAAAATAGTTGAAAGTATTTAAAAATTTAAATGTGTTTTCTTCTACCTATAGGATGATCATAATCGAACTGAAGTAGAAATTAGCGGAGATGACTGTTACTGCTACTGAAGACATAGATGAAGATGATGTATCTGAGCCAGATGATGAAACTGATCATACTAAGGAACAAATGGTTATGGAAATAATTCAGTTAAATCGTGAAATTAACAAACTGAATAAAGAACTAGCTATGAAGGAACATTTAGCTGCTAAACTAATTGAATCAATTTCTTATATTCGCGAATATTATCCTGAAGGAAGTATTGAAAAATAAACTTGAACAATTATATCAAGAACGTGATCAATTAGAAGAAGCTCTTAAAGCTGCTCAAACAAACAATATTAATTCCAAGTATGAATATGGAATAGGCCACTAAATTAAGGTTGAGTGACCATTAATTAATAATATTGCAAAACTACAAGTTCAACAATCATCAGTACCTACCACCTTCAATTCAAGTACCTACGCTTACGAGTACGATGTCCCTTTGCCCACATATATTTTAAAATGGAAATGTAGGTTGAAAATGTGTAGGTACGATTTGAGTTTTTTTTTCCTTTTTCATTAACTAAATAGTTTGTTTGTCTGTAACTGGATCACGGGACCCGAAATGGCCAAAGCCCGATTTTACTGGATTTCCTCCTTCATCAGTTTTATATTATCTCGGTGGGGGATTGTCTATTTACTCTCTTCCGTTGGTTCCCCTATAGCCTTTGAATATATTATCTGGCTCCTAGCATCGAAAAAAAAAGAACGACGTGTGTATCATATGTTTTCATATATTTAAAATACGTTATAATGAACGTATTAACCCGTGGACAAATTTAATTGTTTTCATTACAATACATTTTTTCTTGGTTAATAGACTCAAATGCTCTGGTATCCAAACCAACTCCAATAAATGGCGACTAAGCAGAGTAATCATTACCTGTATTATAATCAGTGGTGTATTGGATATACACAGATATACGACGTATACCCGAATCCTTATTTTTGGATCTATGCATGTATCTTAAAGCTGAAAATGCATGCATTATGGGTATGCGCAAACTTTTAGTTTATCATCAGTCATAATTAATATCACGGTATAAAATAAATAATAATAATAATATACAATTATTATTTTATTATGTACACTATTACACTGTCCAAAAATAGCCTCGACCCCGTATGAAGTTCGGAATTCAGAAACTGCCGAGCCTGTATACTGTTTAGTGTAAATACAAGATTAAATATTAACATCAATATTATAGAAGTTTAAAATGTATACGTCCAAAGTGGGTATTCCACTAAATTTTAAACTGTCAGAATACTACTCACATTCAAACCAAATCTACATGTTTGTATTATGTTCATCACTAAAATCACAATTTCGGTTTAACATAAAAAATTCACAATCATGCAAATATTTGTTGGATAAAGTAAACAAATTTATAAGCTATAAAAAATAAATTACCAAAATTAAATTTCAAAAGTGTGCTAGTTACAAGTTTTTTATATGTTGAATCATGTATATTGTACCTATATGATGAGAAGAGGAAGTGTTTGTAATAAAAGATAACGCTTATTATAAGCATTGAAATGTTTCGAACGAAGCGAGAAAATGTTTTAAAGTACACCTATTCAACTACTTTACAGTGCGTATACCCATACATTTATTTACCAATACACCACTATAAACACTTTTATTATAGTCTATA